TTTTTCTGACTTATTTTCCTTAGTGTAACACCCTCTAGTTCTATCCACGTCCCTGCAAATGGCAAGATTTCATTCTTGATGGCTGAGTAATATTCCTGTGTGTGTGTGTGTGTGTGTGTGTGTGTGTGCGTGCGTGTGCGCACACACACACCACATCTTCTTTATCCATTCATCTGTCAATGGACATCTGGGCTCTTTCCATAGTTTGGCTTTTATGGACATTGCTGCTATAAAAATTGGGATGCGTGTGCCCCTTCGAATCACTATGTTTCTATTCTTTGGAAATACCTAGCAGTGCAATTGCTGGATTGTAGGGTAGCTCTATTTTTAACTTTTTGAGGAACCTCTTATACTGGGAAAACAGGATTTTAGAAAATAGATTGAGAGTTTTGCAACTAGACAAAACCCATTCTCTTTTCCCTGTAACTTTTAATTTTACCATTTTGAAAATTATGTAAGTTTTAACAGAAGAAAAATAGTAAAGTCACTAACTCTGCCATCCAAAAATCACAAATAAATGTGTCATGGTGCTACACATACAGTTTTACAAAATGGATTCAAAGCAAATATAGTATTTACTGATTTTGAAAAACCATTTTTTTTAAAAAAGATTTTATTTATTTGATAGAGAGCGAGTGAGTGCACAAGCAAGGGGAGCAGGAGAGGGAGAAGCAGGCTCCCTGCCCAGGACCCGAGGATCATGACCTGAGCCTAAAGCAGATGCTTAACTGACTGACCAACCAAGATGCCCCTGAAAAATCATTATTTTGTAGGAATGAATTGCCTTTCTAGAAGGATATGGCAGAATGCTAGTCTGTTGACATTTGTATAAGTCTCTTTAGATACATTGTATAGAATAGAGAAAAAGGTTCTCCCCCGCCCCCTTAGAAATCTGGTTTAAAAATGGTTTTTCTGGGGGTGCCTGGCTGGCTCCGTTGGAGTGTGTGACTCTTGTTGTTGGGGTTGTGAGTTCAAGCCCCATGTTGGGTGTAGAGTTTAGTTCAAAAAAATAAAATCTTTAAATTGATGCAGTTGGCATTCTTTTCTTTACCTTTTCAGTCTTAAGGGTGACTTTTGCTTGTTAAAGAATTGGGTTCAATCTGGTGGATCCTGAACCCTGGACAGATTGTATGAGGCATTGCTATTCTAGGGCAAAGAGAACATCTACATTCTCTCATCCTGGCAGTGTCTCACCTTGTGTTCGCATTGGGTGATAGCCCAGGGAAGACTCAAGTACTCACGAACACGGTAGAGAGGGCCCGCCTAGGTACAGTCTTCTGGGGTGATAGGTTTCAGAAGAAAGCCCTTGCAGCGTGAGGAAACATCTTCAAAGCTGCTTCTCTTCCCTGTCTTCGGCAGTCTCTATTAGTGTAGAAGGTGTTTAAAAGCTTTCACTCAGATCTGGTCTAGTGTACTTTTTTTTAACACTAAGGTGCAATGTTTTTGACCAAACAGAGTATCTTTTTCAAGCATATCTGACGCATCTAATGGTCTAATATGAAATTTTCATTAACTCAGTTTTTTAAAATTCATGCACAATTTTTAACCTATCTATATCCAAATGTTTAAAGTCATTTAAAGAAAGTCAACGAGGAACATGATTTTTTTCAGTTCTGTAAGTTGAAAAACACTTTGTTAGATTATTAATTTGGAAAATAAAAGGCTGGTTCAAGTAATTTTTTCTATTTAACAAAATTTAAAATCTAAAACTAAAATTTAAAGCTTGAGGAAATTAATCTTCAAAAACCTATTGGAAGAGCTTCTGAAGACTACTTCATACTTAAAATCTTTTTTTCTTTCTGAAACTTGTAGCCAGCAGGATCCTAGTTAATTGATTAGTTCAGTTTAAACTTTTCCATGATTGTTACATATTACTGAAGTATTAAAAAAAGGAATTTATATTTTTCAAGATGTTGAAATTCTTGAAACATAAATCCATCTAGTCAGTGTAGGCAGTGAAAAGTCGCTCTTCAGAAGGAACACCTATATGGCTTGAATGCAGTTGGTTTCGTATTAGTAACCCAGTGAAATAACCTCAGGCATTTAGTACAATAATAACAACAAAATTGAAATTTGCGCTTCAAAAGTTTAAAAAATTTTTCTTTCCTGATTGACTCATAAGTAAGTATCTCTTTGGGAACTAAGGCAGCAGAGGATTCTAGGTTTTTTTTTTTTTTTTCAAATGGCTTTGCCCAGGATTTTTGCTAGTACTGACCCTGTGCTTCACTTTGGGTTTGTTAAGATGCTAGTGTAGCTTCTACCCTAAAGAAAGGTTTGTTTCTGAGAAATAAAAGAAACCAATCAACCATTTAGAAACAGCATGTTTTGCCTTTTCTTTGTAAAGCCCGTAAGCAGTTTTGACCTGCTTTTGACATTAATTTATTTGAATGTTTATTTGAACAATATTGATTATCTGCTAAAATATGTTAAGCCCTGAGCTAGATTCTCAGTATGTTTACAGTTCGTGATAACAGGAAACATGTCTATTAAGATGTTAGTTATAAAACAAAAGGATGCAAAATTATATATGCCGTATGGTTACAAAGTGTATTTAGAAAAAAAGACTAGTCAAGGGGGCGCCTGGGTGGCTCAGTTGTTAAGCGTCTGCCTTCTGCTCAGGTCATGATCCTGGGGTCCTGGGATCGAGCCCCGCATCGGGCTCCCTGCTCAGCAGGAAGCCTGCTTTTCCCTCTCCCACTCACCCTGCTTGTGTTCCTTCTCTCGCTGTCTCTCTCTCTGTCAAATAAATAAATAAAATCTTTAGTATTTTGATAGTCTTTTTTTTAATTTAGATTCTCTTTTACTTTTTGATGCATGTTTATTATAAAAATTTTGGACATAAATATACACACATATGTGTGTGTGTCTTTTAATTTCTTCCCATACAACCTTCAGTTCCCATATGTATTGCTAAGATTGGAGAATTTTTAATTTGCGATAGACTTTCACCTCAAAGACAATGGCTTAGGGGTGCCTGGGTGGCTCAGTCCTTTAAGCATCTGCCTTTGGCTCAGGTCATGATCCCAGGGTCCTGGGATCAAGTACCGCATTGGGCTCCCTGCTGAGCGCGGAGCCTCCTTCTCCCTCTCCCTCTGCTGCTTTCTCTGCTTGTGCTCTCGCTCTGTAAAATAAATAAATTAAAAAAAAAAGACAATGGCTTAACAATGAAAGTTATTAAATAAACTGCCATCCATGTGTATCTATGAGTTAATGAGCTTTTAGCACATAACGTGCTGGGAGTGATTTAAAAAGTTATTTAAGACCTAACTTCTGCCTTTCAGGACCTTCTAATCTGGTGGAGGAGAGTGTCTGAGTTGTAACAGACAATCTATAAAGCAGTCAGAATAACGTTGCTAGGCAGGATGCAATTAAATGCCAAAATTTGTGCTAAGTACTATCAGAGTTCAGATTAAAGGAGATTCATCTGAAGCTGAAGTACCTGGGAAAGACCCAGTGGTAGAAGTGAAACTTGTGCATCTTTAATAGTAGGTAGTACTTGTTGGTGAATAAAATACACAGAATAAATGTGGATTTAACTTACTTTATCCCCACCTGGCTAATGCATTCTTTTTAAAGGATTGCTCAGTGTTCAGTTCCTTTCTTACAGAAAAAAAAAAAAAAAAAAACCCACAGCCACAATTACAACAACAAAGTTGCTAGTAAGAGGGCCTGAACTGGGCAGGCGCAATAGAAGAGGAGGTTCTGGCCTGAGGGGAGAAGAACAACTTGAGATTGGTGGGGGGGTGGGGGGAGCAAGGCAAAAATAACCACAAGGAGAGCCTTGCTTTGAACATGGGAATATTTAGGATCCCTTTGTGAGCCTCGCTGCTTTTCTTTGCAGGGGACATTATTAAAGATATTACAGAGTGTATATATTTGAGTATTTTTCATTAAAATATTGATGTGTAAATCTCTTGGGCATGATAATTTTTTTACTTATTGGAAAATATTGAATTGATAAAGATAACTTTCTAAAAGATGACTTAATTGGTTTTATTTTTTATAGATGTCATTTAAAACAACATGCTTCTTAAAAATTCATGGCTGAAGAATAGAACTTACCAATACTCAAAAGTATTTTCCATCTTAGACTTTTTTGGGGGGTGGGGTCATAAAAGTCCAGGTAGTGTAGGTGCTCTAGTTTTTATGTCTGCCTTGTAAAATAAAGTTAAATGGATTAGAAGTTCCTTAAACTGGAAAACTGTTAGGGAAAGCCATTTCAAAGATACATGAATCCTATTAGCATTTTAAAAGAATAGTTTCTTTCAGAAATGAGTTACTCTTTTCAGTAGTGAATGCCTCACCTCAAGCAAAAATAGGTGTAAGAAGGTTGTACAGTGAGTAGTCTTAAAAATGGAGCATATATTTCTAAGTTTTAAGTAGACTTAGAATTAATGCATATATCAGCTCTTCTAAGAGTAAAGGTAAAAATGGATGAGGATCAAATGTGAGTATTTAAATGATTGTCAAGATTTTCTGGCTCGTTGATATTGAAGTCTTTAGTTCTGGACTTTAATTTGTGCCTGGTGCTGACCTGATGCTGTGCAGGGACACTCACTGCATCCCTTCATTGAGTTTCTCTGTAATTATCCCCACTTCCTGGGGAGCTTGCTTAGAACTGGGCATGAGTGCTTGTTAGGAAAGTATTGGACTACTCTGGCTACATGTAACAGGGTAGTTTTTGATATAAGATTTATATGTAGATGAACTGAATAGGGGGCCAACGTTTGCAGGGGTTTTATTTAATCAAATTGGTAGGGAATATTATGGAAGTTCTCTGGCTAGACAATGATTAGGCTTGTAATAAATGAAAGTCATGGTTAATATAGTTCCTGAGCTGATAAAGAACAGTTACACTGTTCTTTTTTTAGTGCACTTTCAAAAAGACCTGACTACTTAAACAAGGGAAACAATCACATTTGCAATTTTGTGTATATTCACAAATGATGGGATTTCTTTTTGCTGGGAGCATCTGTTAATGCAGAGATTTGTCTCTTCAGGTTCATGTGAAAATGGCGGACGAGGCTGTCTGTGTTGGCCCAGCTCCCACCAGTAAAAGCTACCTCAACATGGATGCCATCATGGAAGCCATTAAGAAAACCAGGGCCCAAGCTGTGAGTCTGAATGAATCTATCTACCGCAGCTGTTTCGTATATAGTGAGCAGAAAGCTAGAGTTTGTACTCAGAAGAAAAAAAAAATAAGAAAGAATGATTGAAAATGCTGTTGCAGTTAGTTCATGTCACATGAGTTAAATGTGGCCGAATTCGCTACTGGAAATCAAAGGCTTTGTAGCATCTGGCAGTGTTGGTCGCTGATCCTGCAGGTGGCTGTTGGATTCAGCTTTCACACCAGGGAGCAGTTTCAGTTCATTTCCAAATTTGTTAGGGGGAAAAAAAAAAAAGAAAAATCCTAATTAGTTTTGAGTATTAACCCTTTCAGTGCGATAAGAACATTAAAAAAAATCTGTGTTATGAATAGGATTCAAAAGATTCTTGTTTTAAATTGTTTTAATCATTTAAAAATTACGTATACCTGGTTACACTTCCAGAAATAAAAACTATGCAATTGATAATGTCAGTAGAATACACTTAACTTACAGGGAGAAATCAGTAATTCTTCCTGTCTCCAATTTTGTCTGAATGGGGTGGAATCCAGGGAAGAATCTGGTTTCTGACATCAGGAATTGTGTTTTGTTGGTGCTGTGTGTGTGTGTGTGTGTGTGTGTGTGTGTGTTAGATCAGAGAACTAATTATATATAATGTTGCAAACTATGCAGCGTTATCTCTGAAATTGGATGGAAACAGCCAACACCAGCAATTAGCCTGGAGTGCTTCAATTAGTGTTCACATGTCTTGTGAAAGAAATGTTTTAGTAAGATACATATTTAAATAAATAACTGAATTCATGAACCCATATTATAGATGTTTACAGTTTATTATCAGAGTTAATGAAGGTAAAACTCTTAACCCTTTAACGATAGCTTGTCAGAATACAATGTTTTGTTAAATGTTTCTATAAAACGCAATTGTGGAGTGAAACTCTTTACCTGTGATGCAGTTGTTTAAATTCTATACCAGGTTCATAAAACATTTAAAAATCTCAGATGTGTAGCTACTTCTAGATTATGATATTGGCTCCTTGCGAAATTTGGCTTTCCTTACAGAATTGTTTTCCTGGAAATATGTACAGTCTTGATTGATAATAGGCTAAATTTGTTCAAACAGTGTGATAGGCCAGGATGATAGAACTTAAATCATAGCAACATGGTTTGTGAGGGGATAGCATAAAGTGGTTATGAATGGTTAAGTGGGCCAAGGAGGGAAAGAAGAGTACATGTTAGAAGAAAAAAATTCAGTGTATAAAGAAAAAGTAAAACCAGATTTCGACTTTAGTTTTGACCAACACTGCTCATTGGGTGGCTGAGGGTATTCATGTGGTCAGGAATAAAATATGTTAGTTGGCTTAGCCAGATTTTTTGAAAGCAGCATTTCCCGGGACTGTAAAGAAAGGGGAATTAGGAGTTTTTCATCTGTCTCACAAATGGTTTCTTTTAACCTTATTCTTTGGCCCACCAACCATTAAAAAATTTGGCTTAAGGCCAAAATTAGCCTCAGAAAAAGTAGGGAGAGTTCAGGTTGTGTTGAAATACATAGATATAGGTGACTGGCAGATTTGTAGGTCCGTGGTCCTGATTATGGTTAGGACAAAGGTAGTGTGCTGTAAGTGCATATCAGGCAGTTTCTTGGAATTTGGGTCTGTACTCAGGAATGTGTGTTGGAACTGTCAGTATGTAGGCGAAGTAACCTGACTCCATGCCCTTAAAATATGAACACATGAGTGCACTCTCTATGTTGCTTATAAAGGTTTTGTGATATGATAAAATTGAAAGTGCTTTTTGTTTTCATTTCTAAGGTACATCCAGGTTATGGATTCCTTTCAGAAAACAAAGAATTTGCCAAATGTCTGGTAAGTTTGTAATGAACCAGAATCTGTTAACTTGTATTTCAGAAAGCAGTATAATGGTGTTACTTTTGTAACTGTGGGTAGTGATGAATGACAGATATTTTAAAAAATTTTATTTATTATTTGAGAGAAAGAGAGAACACGAGCAGAGGGGTGGGGGGGGCAGAGGGAGAGGGAGAAGCAGACTCCCTGCTGAGCAGGGAGCCTGACAAGATGCTGATCCCAGGAGCCTGGGATCATGACCTGAGCTGAAGGCTGGTGCTTAACCCACTGAGCCACCCAGGCGCCCCTGAATTATAGAATTTTAATTGACCTGTCAGTTCTTTGAAAATTATTTGTGAAAAGTGAAGAGTTTTTATTCTGTAACCCGGGTTTTGGTTTGAAGAATAAAAGTGGAAAAGTTATAAAATCATCTTTATGATGATAACAAACACGAAGTTTGTTATATATTTTATGGATTTTTAAAAAATTCAGCTCTTTAGGTTTGTAGCTACCTGTGTCAAGGAGTCCAGTGATTTATTATTATACAAGAACATTATTTCTCTTTTCATTGCATATTGTGGCATTTAAGATCAAATCTTACTGCCTTCTCTATTTTGGGAAAAGATTTATGCACGATCTGAGTCTCTTTCAGATATTACCACCCTGATTGGGTGAATTGAATTGATTTCTCATGTGTGTATTTATAACTACATTCAAGATGGTACTGAAACCTTAGTTTTCAGGTGCTAAAATAGGATTTTGAATGTTTCGAGAAGCTGATTACATGAGTTATCCCAGGTGGTATCTTACTTTATTATTCTAATATGTTATACTTTGTTTCTGTGAAATGCTTGTGTTTTGTTCTTTCATGGACTCAAAATTATTTATGAATGTAATTTTCTAGATGACATTTCCACTTAAAATCCATAAATTTAACTTGGACAGTTTTTAAGAACCAAGAGTTCTAGTTTAGAATGATCTATTTTAACCAAGTGAGAGATTAAAAACTCGGGCCTAAAGATGAAACTGAGGCCTACAGAAATTGTGATGTAAGGTGATATAGCTGATGGTATTAAGTGTCTGGAGAGGGCAGATTAGGTGGAAGCAGCCAAACGCCCAGATTTGCCAGGTTGTGTGTAGTATAACCACACTTTCCCACTTACATTCTTTTTCGTCATCATCTTGTTTGACATTTTGGCTGGGTTCTGTCATTATGTCAGAAAGTGATTTGAATATAACACATATGAATGTGCCTGAATAATATAATGTACTAAATTTAAGTTGTATAGATGAGGCATCTCTAAACCATGGCCCATGGCCCAAATGCAGCCTGCCGCCTGTTTTTGTAAGTTAAATTTTATTGGCACAAAGTCAAGCTCATGCACTTATGTGTTGTCAGTGGATCCTTTTGCTCTATAACAGCAGAACTGTGTAGCTGTAACAGATCAAGTAACCTGCAAAGCCTAAAATATTTACTGCATGGCCCTTTGTAGTAGAAATTTGCCAATTTCTGGTATAGATGAGTATCTGAGTCTCAGAGAAGTTAAATGACATGGCCATTCTGTTCATTCATGCATTCATTTAGTCATTAAAAAAATGGTTGTTTGGTAACTATGTTTAAGGTATTTGAGAAGGATATAAAAATGAATCAGATGTGTGTCCTGCTCGTGAGAAGCTCACAGGTCAGATAATTCAAGTACACAAATGACTTCAATTCAGGGAAGAAAATATTACAAAGAAGTTCACATTTTCCTTAAATGAAGATTATTTCCATTAGGGATTTCATGTTAAAAGAGTGTAGAATATATGAATGACTACCTTCCTTTCTCATGAATTTTCTTTCTGATCTCCTCTCCTCCATTTCCCTTTCTCAGAGCTATGCGTCAGCCAAGCTAGAACACCGTGCTGTTCTCAAACGTGGCTTGTTCTTTCGTGTTCCATCCTTTTTGTGTCTCTTTGCCCAGGGGGCCCACTTGCCCTTTCTTACGTTTCTAAGGATTGCCTCTCCTGAAAGGCATAGTTCACATGTTACTTCTCCCAGAGTAGTTTCCATATCCCTCTGGTGAGAAGTAATGTCTTTCCTCTGTTTTCTAGAGCATTTTTTTTTTTTTTAAGATTTCTTATTTGGTATAGTACTTTACATATTAGGTTAAAATTATTTCTGTATATTAATTTCCTCTTAAGACAAGAGACTTGGCCTTATCAGTCTTTCTTTCCCTTTTGTTTTATAGTCTAATGATTTCAACATAGTGGATTCAGTGGATGTTATGGAAAGATTAAATAATCATTAGATTAAGAATTATAAAACAACATGCAAGAAAACTTTCTCCTATCACAAAATGGACTGTTTTATAGCTAAAAAGCAGTATTGCCGTGTTTTGGCTCACTATGAGAATATGCAGCTAGTGATAACTAACCTCTTGGTTTTTTAGCATCATGGCAAGATTCCTTTTGGGATATAATTTTCCTAGCATTAAAATCTTTTCCCATTGGAGTGTACCATTTAAAATGCTCCTTTTGAAAAAAAAAAAAAAATAAATGCTCCTTATTGGAATGTTTGGTTATAGGTGGTAAGTTCCCTTAAAAAACAAAAAACGAAAGACAACAGCATTGAAATGAAATTGCCTACTGTTTTTTTTTTTTTTTAAAGATTTTATTTATTTATTTGACAGAGATACAGCGAGAGAGGGAACCCAAGCAGGGGGAGTGGGAGAGGGAGAAGCAGGCTTCCTGCGGAGCAGGGAGCCCGATGCGGGGCTCAATCCCAGGACCCTGGGATCATGACCTGAGCCGAAGGCAGATGCTCAACGACTGAGCCACCCAGGCGCCCCGCCTACTGATTTTGTTAGGCCATATAAACATTGTGTGGTTGGTGACCAGCCATTGAAATTCAATAGTTACTATCGCAAACTGAGTATATTCTTAGATATCTAATTTCCAATATAGTGGTAGATGGATTACCATGTTGATAGATTATCATATTGATGGTGATTACCATCATGATTACCATGTTGATGATGGTGACTTAGCAAGGAGAAAATGGATTTTTTTTTTTAAAGTTGAATACTGTGGAGTTCCCTTTATTGTAATACTGTATCCTATGTTTGAGATTTAATCAAATATGGAGATTTTTTTTTTAAAGATTTTATTTATTTATTTGAGAGAGAGAGAATGAGAGATAGAGAGCACGAGAGGGAGGAGGGTCAGAGGGAGAAGCAGACTCCCCGCCGAGCAGGGAGCCCGATGTGGGACTCGATCCCGGGACTCCAGGATCATGACCTGAGCCGAAGGCAGTCGCTTAACCAACTGAGCCACCCAGGCGCCCCTCAAATATGGAGATTTTTTTTCCATTTTATTTTTAGTTCCTTTTTTTTTTTTTAAAAAAGATTTCTTTCTTTTAGGGAAAGAGAGGGGGCGAGAATCTTAAGCAGACTTCTCGCTGAGTGTGGAGCCCAACATGGGGCTCGATCTCACAACCCTGAGATCACAATCTGAGCTGAGGCCAAGAGTTGGCTGCTTAACCGACTGTGCCACCTAGGCGCCCCAGTTCTGTTTTTTTTTTTAAACTGCTATTCAAAGACCTCGTATTTATTTTGTTTGTAGAAAAACTAGTTGTGCTTTATGTAATACATTGTTGTTTTTAGTTAACAACTATGAATAATTTCTGGATTTTTTTTTCCCCTGAATTTTTGCTATATATTTGCATTAGAAAGTATACAATAGGGGCACTTGGGTGGCTCAGTCGGTTAAGTGTCTGCCTTCGGCTCAGGTCCATGATCCCAGGGTCCTGGGATCAAGTCCCACATCAGGCTCCCTGCTCAGTGGAGGGCCTGCATCTCCTCCCCGCTCTCCCTCTCCTCCCCACTTGTGTGCTCTTTCTAGCTATCTCTCTCTCTCTCTCAAATAAATAAATAAAAATCTTTAAAAAAAAGTATACAATAAACCAAATATAAAAGCATACTAAACTTTATAAGTTTTCTTTACAAGACTAATTTTTTTTTTAAGATTTTATTTTATTTATTTGACAGAGAGAGACACAGCGAGAGAGGGAACACAAGCAGGGGGAGTGGGAGAGGGAGAAGCAGGCTTCCTGCGGAGCAGGGAGCCCGATGCGGGGCTCGATCCCAGGACCCTGAGATCATGACCTGAGCTGAAGGCAGACGCTTAATGACTGAGCCACCCAGGCGCCCCTAATCTGATAGTTTTCATGTGTATTTTCTGAGTTTAGATTTTTTTCCTGTTGAGATTAATAGTTTGGTAGGATTATTCTGCTATATACATGTGCATAATACTGTAGTTTACCAAATACTTTGACACATTGTTTTCATTCATGCAACCACTGAAGCTGGATATTATTAACTCTGTATAACAAAAGGAAAACAGTGACTCAGGTGCAGTGACCTACCAGTAGTCACAGTCTGCTAGTAACAGGACTTGACCCAGGTTGGCTGACTTTTGGGTACAGAGAATTTGGGGGAAAAACAAAACACTGTATCCTAATTGGCTAAGTTGGAAAGAGAGAACGTTCAAGGAGAAGGCAAAAAAGACCAAAGTAACTGTAGCCAACTTGGCCAAAGCCCATAGAAACCTTAGAAACCATAGAAACCCACTTTGTTGTAATACAGGCAGTGGGTGATCAGATTGTAGGAAAATGACAGTTGTGTAGGTAGAAACTGGAAGACCGCATTTTGCTAGGTTGTTTTTTGTCAGTTATGGGGTTGTAGTCCATAGTGTGTTATTAAAGTATGTTGTAAGTGGTTCATAACTAATACTAAAATTCAAGTTAGCAAGTTGGCCAGTGGTTTCATTTAACAATATTTTTGTTCTTAAGATAGTATAAAGTAAATTTAAAGGGATTCATATGATACCCTATTCACTTGTAGTTGTAAAACCTTTTTTTTTTTTTTTTTTTGAGTAGGTGAATAAAGGAGAGGCTTAGACCTTGCAAATCCAGAATTGTATATAACTCTGATTTTATTTATGTGGGCTGTGACCTTGGTCATTCACAGAAGTGTTTTGTG